AGATGCCTGCCGTATCAACACCAGTCGCTGACACCGCATAGGGCAATTTCTTTAGACACATTGGTAGCATTCTTACCTTTGCCTTCGCTGGCACCTTCATATCTGCCGTCTCACTTGGACTCATACTGTTCCTCTGGACCCGCATTCCCCTCGATGGCTTCAAGATCAACTTTGTCGAGGCCATGTCTGTTGGCGCGACGCTATCAGCCACCGATCCCGTTACGATTCTCGCCATCTTCGATACATACAAGGTCGAGCCGAGGCTGTACACTCTCATCTTTGGCGAGTCTATCCTGAACGATGCCGTCGCTATCGTGCTCTTCGAGACTGCTCAGAAGTACAAGGACGGTGCTGAGACCTTGGGCATTACAAGCTTATTCGAGGCTTTTGGTATCTTCTTTGGTGTCTTCTTCGGAAGTCTTTTCATTGGTGTCATGGTCGGCATTGTTGCATCGTTGACGCTCAAGTTCACATATGTCAGGCGCTACCCCAAGACAGAAACTTGTCTGATTATCTTGGTTGCCTACCTTACGTACTTCTTCTCCAACGCCATTCACATGTCCGGTAAGTTGTCTCAACATTCAGTACTTTGATCACCGCTGACACTTAATCAGGCATTGTATCTTTGCTCTTCTGCGGTATCTGCCTCAAGCATTATGCGTACCACAACATGTCTAGGCGCACTCAGTTGTCGACGAAATTTGTCTTCCAGGTCACCTCGCAATTGTCGGAGAACTTCATCTTCATCTACCTAGGACTTTCGCTCTTCACAGACAAGCAGCTAGACTTCAAGCCTCTCTTCATACTCATCACCGTCTTCGGTATCTGCGCTGCTCGCTGGGCGGCTGTATTTCCCCTTTCGAAAGCTATCAACGCCGTATCGAGGTATCGCCAGCGACGCCGCGGTGTCGATACAACTGAGGATGAGATTCCATACGCCCATCAGGCCATGATCTACTGGGCAGGATTACGTGGTGCAGTTGGTGTTGCTCTTGCAGCAGGCCTGACAGGCAACAATGGCGACACCCTCCGCGCTACAGTGCTCGTGGTGGTCGTGCTGACCGTCATCATCTTCGGTGGGACTACGGCTCGTATGCTAGAGATCATGGGCATACGTACCGGAGTTGTTGAGGAGATCGATTCTGACGATGAGTTCGACATTGAGGTGGTCAACGGCCGTACCTTCCAGCGCAACGCGGGCACAGGTATCGGTCACACACCCAAGCCTAGCCAGAACGGTTTTGGGCTGAGCAACGTGAACGGTGCATACTCCAGCGGCTCCTTGAATCGCAACAGCCCGCCTACACGACCTAATGGACAGCCTATGCGACGCAATTCCAGCAAGCAACGATTCGCGGATGGTGCCGATCAGGGTCTGCTCAGTCCTGGCGACAGCAACTCTGCAGACGAGGACGACGCAGACCTTGATCTGCCCCCAAGCGCGCGCAGGTCGCCCAACCGACAATCCTCCCCACTTGGCACAACGGTCGATCCCCTTTATCCGACCTCAGGCCATAGGATGGCTGAGACCGGGCCAGCAGAGGGTTCGAGCAGAGTAGCCACAGCGACAGGCGCAGTGAAGCAGCTGTTCAATGAACTCAGCCACGACCCAGCGAACGCATTCAAACAGATTGACGATGGATTTTTGAAACCGCATTTGCTTCTCGACCCCGGGCATGGTAAGCCGGGGCCAAGCAACGTATGAGAGTTAGATATTGCAGCATTAGAGCATCTCTGGCGTTATTGGGAATGTGCATCATTAAATCGTTCTGCGGAACTGATGATATACGTTATGAATGCCGCGGCTGCAAACACTCGCAGCACATTTAGGCTATAGCATTGCCTGACCCAAGTTGGCAGGCCATTGAATCGACTTGTTCATCTCACAACGTGCATCCTCTGACATTGTGATAGACACAATGAGAAGTACATCAAAGCTTTGCTCGGCCCGGCGAATCACTGGGCATGAAGGCTTGCAGGGTCACGAGCAAGGCTTGAGTACATCGAAGCACTTTACCCCGTGCTTGTTTGGGCAGTGACAAGCGCACTAGCGCGCTTTCCATATTACTCCAGATTAATCCACTAACAAACATCAAACCAGCTCATCCTAAGCGTCCACTCAGCTCAGAAGATCACGACAACTTATCTCCAAAGAACAAGCGGCTTTGCGGAGCCCCATGGCGTTTGAAACTGCAGTTATTGCGGGGAAACTGCCTCAGTCTGAATGGGGCATGCAGCCTCAACGCGGCTCGATTGAAGGTCATCTATCATTGTGCTGGTGATGGTGCGCACCCAAAGTCGCCAAATTCGACGCAGAGACGGAATGCTGGACTTCTCGAGGCTCATGGGCCATCTTTCGTGGCGAGGTAGCGATATTGTGGACTGTGTCCTTGGTGCCGTTGACTAACAAATAGAGCATGATGCTGGCTTGCTTACATGTTGACAGGCTTCATGATCAGGTCCGAACTTCCGCCACTGTAGGGAGAGATGCTCGACATATCACTGACCTATATCAGATGATCGATGGTTATCTTAGAGTGCGAACATAAGCCACCTGCAGCAATACTCATCTACGTTTCATCTTTCGAGCTGCACAGACCTCGAAGATCGCGTACTCGCGGATCACGGGCCTGCTTCCTGATGAGCTGTGCTCAATAGCCTCAGGTACCGAGTACACAGCTGGAAAACAGTTCACGACAGATATAAAAGGCTGTCCAGCGCTCGATACTGCTAGAAACCACAACCACAATTCTTCAGTCTTTCCACCTTCGCCAACATGAAGTTCACGTTCACTGCCTTGCTGGCATCCGCCATCAGCGGCGCCTTCGCTATCCCCACACCCACCGAGCAGGGGCCTATCACCGCCCGTCAGGCTGCCAGTGCTTGTGCAACTGCGGTCACTCTCTCCGGCAATCCCTTCGCTGGACGCTCGATCTACGCCAACAAGTTTTACTCGTCCGAGGTCCTCTCCGCGGCCGCTTCGATCACCGACAGCGCGTTGAAGGCGAAGGCCACCAAGGTCGCTTCGGTTGGAACATATCTTTGGATGTGAGTAACACTGTTCTCGTAATATTCTCAGACTAACTTGTGCAGTGACACTCGTGCTAAGATTGCTTCGATCGAAGATGCCATCAAGAACGTCGGCTGTAACCAGATCGCCGCTCTCGTCATCTACAACCTTCCCGGTCGTGACTGTGCTGCGAAGGCTTCCAACGGTGAGCTGGCTGTTGGCCAAGTTGATGTCTACAAGACACAGTACATTGACCGTGAGTATACACGTTAAACTGATCTGGCTTTGCTGACTATTACAGCCATCGTGGCCATTCTCAAGAAGTACCCCAAGACCGCTATCTCCCTCATCATCGAGCCTGATTCCCTCCCTAACCTGGTCACCAACAGCGGCGTTGCTGCATGCCAGGCCGCGGCTGCTGGCTACCGTGAGGGTGTTGCGTACGCATTGAAATCGCTCAACCTGCCCAACGTTGCCATGTACCTCGATGCTGGTCACGGTGGCTGGCTCGGCTGGCCTGACAACCTCAGTAAGTACCTTTGCTCCGTGCACACCCACTACACTAACAAGTCTTGCAGAGCCTGGCGCTCAAGTTCTGGCCGACGCTTACACCGCTGCCGGCAAGCCTAAGTCGCTCCGCGGTATCTCGACGAACGTCGCTGGCTGGAACGCCTGGAACCTCACACCCGGCGAGTTCTCCACCGGAGACGGCCAATGGAACAAGGCCTACAACGAGAAGGCCTACGTTGAGCTCTTCGCTCCCTACCTACAAGCCGCCGGCATGCCATCTCAGGCTGTTGTCGACACCGGCCGCAACGGTGTCTCGGGTCTGCGGAAGGCGTGGGGTGACTGGTGCAACGTCAAGGGTGCTGGCTTTGGTGCCCGCCCTACCACTAACACTGGCTCGAGCCTAGTTGACTCTTTCGTGTGGGTCAAGCCGGGTGGTGAGAGCGACGGTACAAGCGATACCTCTGCCAAGCGCTACGACTCGTACTGTGGATTGGATGATGCATTCAAGCCCAGTCCCGAGGCCGGATCGTGGAACCAGGCGTACTTTGTCCAGCTGCTCCAGAACGCCAAGCCTTCTTTCTAGACTGGTAGATCACGAGACTTCTTGTACATAGATGTTTGGGACTGAGAGTGGGCTCGCGAGTGGGCTCGCGAGGATGAGAAGAACGAGAAGGCTGTAGAAGCTGAGTAAATGTCATTCGTTTGAACTCTGTCAACCTGCTCATTGACCCTTCAAAACGCAAACAGTGTCAATGAGATTAGAAACGCGAACAAATTGCGGCATGTCGACCTCCTCTACACTTCAGCAAGGGTCTGGCGTGTGCAAATGTATCAGTGTCTCTACTCTCGTCAGCTCAACCACTGCTCCAAGTATCGGTGCAGCCTGGCCTGTGCTCAATGGGAGGCTGTCCTCTGTCCATCTCAGTGCTCGTTCGCCTAGATGTTCAGCGGGGATGCCCGAACATCGGGCGCCAAAGTTGCCTGTGTCCTTCTTCGCCTTTTCCTATGCTTCCTGAGCCCTGACTGTACCCGCCGAGACCGAAGTCAAGTCGTACGAAGCGCTGGGTTACCTCTCATGAGCTGAGTGCCAGCAAGACGGTTCAAGAAGACTGTTCGTGGCGAGTGCGACTACGCATGTCTGGTGAAAACGGATAAGTCGTGCTTTGACTAGTTGTATACGAGTAGGCATCCGAACGTCAACCAGTTCTGTTGTAGTAGCATATTGCATACGGTCTGTGGCATCGAAGGACTCGTTTTATGTTACGATCAAGTCTCAGGCAGCCATCCGGCTATATCCACACGCAGATGAGGGGTGCGTCCTTCCCGGTCGCCCCGCTTCTTGCCTCATGTCAGCTTACACAGTGTACACCTCCTTGTCTTACAGCTGTCTGGTGGTGTATACCATACCGTCCAGAAGCAGCTCGGATGGTGTTCCAAGACAGAGTTTGTTGACGCCTGAAGCTCAACGTCTCACAGCAAAGCATCGATAGTTTAGGGGTGGAATTGAAGCTTCCCATCTTCACATGGAGGGATCTGCTTTAGGTGCGGGTTCGAGTCCCGCTCGATGCAGCGGACATGTGTTTTTGTTCCTTATGTGGGCTGTAGAAAAAATTGGTGTCTGTTGATGGAGCAGTGCGTTAGCGGTTGGTGGATCGGTCCTGTCTTGACGTTAAGTTTATACTTCCTTTTTGTGCTGTAAGATGCTCTGCAGCATTGTTCCTTTGATACTGGGATAATATCAAGGCTGGGGTGCAAGGCATCTTGGATCCTGTGTAATGTGTTGGTGGTGACCGTGGATGGCAGGTGCGAAGTCGCGACTGCACGTTGATTTAGCGGGGTGAACTGACCTGCGTCATTGCGTCTTGCCGTCAACATCAACTGTGTGTACTCCACACAAGCCAGCACCCTCCAAAGCTCTAGTTCTTCGCCATGTCCGCCAAGATTGAGAAGACGATACAGCGACAGAAGGAGAGGTAATGCATTCGCTCCAGTGGTCTTACCGCTCACTCACATATACAGGATCGCAGAAGGCCAGTACTATGAAGCTCACCAGCAGCTCCGTGTGATCGCATCCCGCTACACCAAAGCCCAAGACTGGGTCTCCGCGACCGACATCCTCTTTCGTGGCGCACAATCGCTCTTGCAAGCAGGCCAAGGCGGCTCTGGCGGTGACCTCTGCATTTTCCTGCTCGATGTATTCAACAAGAGCGAGACCAAGCCCGACGCGAGCAGCAAAGGCAAGCTGATCACGCTACTTCGCGCATTCCCAGCGAACGAGCCCACAAAGAAGAAGTTCGTTGCCGAGATGGTCGGCTGGAGCGCAAAGTATGGCGAGTATCCCGCTGGCGACCCAGAGATCCACCACGTTGCAGGCAGCGCGTTTGCTGAAGGTACGATTTTCGCGTTCACGGTAGACGAGAGAGCATAGGATTGACATCAGATACAGATCTCGAGCCCTACGACGCAGAGCGCCACCTTGTCCTCGGCACAAAAGATTCTCCCGAAACCCTCGCCAACCTCGAATACGCCTGGTACACAGCCGACGACTCCCACACCGCTCCGCTCTACACTGCGCGCGGTGTCCTCCCCTACCTACTCGCTGGAAACCTGCGCGCAGCAAACAAGTTCTTCCTGCTCTTCACCAGCCGGCTGTCCTCGAAGCCGGGGCTGCAAACCCAGCAAGTCTCGACCTCGGGGTCAGATCTCCGCGTATACCCTTCCCTGCCATTGTTAAACTTCCTCGGGCTGCTCTTGTTGAGCGTGGAAAGAGGCGACCCGAGCTTGTTCCGCCAGTTGAAGAGCCATTATGCTGCGCATCTGAAGGACGTGAATTGGGACGAGGCGCTGGACCAGATTGGTGAGATGTACTTTGGCATCAGGATACCGAAGCAGGGAAACCCCATGTTTGACATGCTGGGGAGCATGTTTGGAGGGGGCATGGGTGGTGGCGCGAAAAAGCCGGCGGGTGGGAGCAAGACGCTTCCGCCTACTGGCGGGCTAGATTAGGTGTTCACGAAGCGTAAAAGCGTGGATCGGTATGGAACGGCAGGCCAGATAGATACCAGTGTTCGAAAGAGTGCATCACGGCATTGAGGAGACATTGTTTTGTGAATGTGAGATGCTTTTGTCTACACTATTGGTACTATTGAAATCTTCAATCTATGATTTCAAATCCGCCACGAAGAAGCGCACCGACTTATGCGGCAACAGTCTTCTCCCTGAAGCGGATGTTGTACTTGTCCTCCAAAACCTTCATGAGCGGTCTGCAGATAGCAGGGTCCATGGGCGCAAGGATACCCTTCTCCTTGATTGTGCCGTCAAGAACCTGTTGGACAGCGACTGCGCAGGGGACACCGACCAGCTTGGCCATGGAAGAGTAGCCCTTGGGGTCACCGTAGTCGGCAAGGGTCGATGTGCGGATGACCTTGCTGCCGTCCTTGTTCTCGATCTCGAACTTGTGCTGGAGCATGACGAAGTCGCGCTCGTCCTTCTCGTACTGCATCTTCTTCTCGAGGGTGGCGCAGAGGGTGTCGAGCGGGTTGCCGCGGGGGATGATCTTCTCGTCAGAGAACAGACCGATCCACTCGAGACCGGCGATGATGCGCTCCTTCTCCTCGGTCGACGGGAATTTGTGGCGCGAGCTGATGGCCCAGACGATGTCCTCCTTCTTGTCGCTCGATGAGCCGACAATCTTGGCTGTGGCGTCCTTCCATGAGCGCTGCTCGCCCTCCTTGAGGAAGTCCTTCTCGTCCTCAACAAGGAAGCCGATGTCGACGAGGGTCTTGATGTACTCGGGGAAACCCTGGTAGCGGAGAGTACCACGGACGATGGTCTGGGCCTCGGGGATGTTGTAGCGCTCCTTGTAGGGGGTGGAGTCACGGTTGGGGTAGGCGACGAAAGCATAACCGGGGTAGATGAAGTAAGGCTTGGCCTCAGCCATGAGCTCAGGTCCCTCAACCTCCTTGACCTGACCATCTTGCCAGTACTTGGCAGCGTTCCTCAGCGCCAGCAGAACACCGCGGGAGCTCCACGAGAACTTGTATCCGAGAGGGTTGTCCGAGGACTCGGGGGCGGGAAGACCACCGCAGTATGACTTGAAAGACAAGATCTTGCCGCCCTCCTTGTGGACATCGTCGATGGTGATAACAGCAGACAGGTGATCGATTCCGGGGTCAAGACCAATCTCGTTCATGACGGTGATGCCGGCCTCCTTGGCCTCGGCGTCGAGCTCCATCATGGCGGGCGAGACGTATGAGGTTGTGACAACATCCTTCTTCTTGCGGATGGCCGACTTGATGACGGTCGCGTGGAAGGTGTAGGGGATCAGAGAGATGACAACGTCGACCTTGGCAACCTCAGCGTCGAGAGCCTCAGCATCGTTGACGTCGAGCTGGTAGAATTAGTATTTGCAACATGTTGCGGTTCGGAGACTTTGCGTACGCTGATGGCGACTGCGTTGGGGATGCCCTTGGCAAGAGCCTGTGCCTTCTCGAGAGTCCTGCAGGCAACGACGACCTTGACGCCAGACTTGCCGAGGATCTCAGCAGTTGGGCGGGTGACGAAACCAGCGCCGAGCAGCAGAACCGACCTGGAGAGTTGTCAGCTTAGTTCTCATAGTATGTCTGAGTTGCACTCACTTTCCGGTAGAGTTAACCCCACCGAGAACGGTCTCAAACTTGTCTGCAACAGTTAGTATAGGCTCAATTGGTAAGTTTGAAATACTCACTAATGATTGCCTCCATGTTGTTTGATCTGTTGAAGCTTCTCGAGATCAGAACTGTGGTTGAAGATATATCTTTCGCGAGACCTACCGACAAATTCGTGTTCACTCCGCGAGTACCCCGCGGCGCTCTTGTCATACGTAACCGCCGCAAGGCGACCGAGTTCGGAGCAATCATCGGACAAGCAGGGTGGGCCCTCAGCCTTACGTTCACGTGATGCGGCAAGAGCGGCTCCACTTGTCTTAGCCGCATTCGATTTAGGCTTCCTGTATGCGCCAGGTAGGATCCCATGAACGTGCCTGGGCATCACCAACTACATACAACAAAGCTCGACATCAAGATTCCGATTCAAACACGGCGACGCGCCAAATTTGCTCCGCACTCTGAACAATTGACCAACGACCGTTTCTTAAATTGGAGCGCGCAAAGCGCTCGTGACAGCTGTCATCATGCCATCCGCAATAGATACAGGCGATGACCTGCGAATAGCAATCAAACAAGTAATGCCACGCGCATGTTACAAGAAGCTGTAATTCATACTGACTCATGAAAGATCTCCCAGTCATCCGTGGGCTCGGATTACATCGACCAGCTAATCCCTATTATGAAAGATGCGCGCTACTCAAACCAGCTGCAACTGGCATTTGATCAGTTCTCAAACGACCGAGAATCTGAAATTGAGCGCATTTGCAATGCCAATCACCAGGATTTCGTTAGCTCAGTTGATTCCATGCTCCGTATCCGAGATCAAACCGTGCAAATGAGTGGAGAGATTCTGCAGTTGAATGAGTCCATTCAGGAAAGCATTGAGAAATTGGCAACCCAGAAGAAAGCCCTGGTCGACTCTCGTGGTGTGCGCCAGAACATCAATGAAGCAACGCAAGCGTTGAACGCGTGTTTGAACGTTCTGCGGATCGCGAACCAGGTCCAAGACATGTTGCGAGAGAAGAATTATTACGCTGCTCTTCGTGCGCTGGACGAATTGCAGACGATTCACCTCAAAGAGATTAGCCGCTTCAAGATCGCGAACCTTATCGAGAGGTCTGTGCCGCAGACCCAGGAACAGATCCGAGAAGCAGTCAAGACGGACTTGAGCACCTGGCTGTACCGAATCAGAGAGTCGTCACAGTTCCTTGGCGAAGTGTCATTCTACTACACCGACGAGAGAAGGAAGCGGAATGCTGACCGTGCCGAAGTCGACCCACGGTTTCAACGGTTCAAATTGAATTCTTCAATCGAACTTGTCGCCGACGAAACAGACGAATTTGATATCCTGAACAACGAAGAGGCTGGAAATGAGACGGACTTCTCCCCGCTGTTCCTCGCAATTCACATCAATGAGACGCTGGGCAAGACGGACCAGTTCAAAGCCGAGTATGCCGCGGATAGGCGGACACAAAAGGACCTGATTATACCCAGCAAACTCAACTTGTTGCAAGATGAGTGCGATGACCTCAGCAGTCTTCTTGAAAGCATTGCAGGGTTCGCAATCATTGAGAAGGCAACAATGGCTAAGACGACAAATTTACGCCAGCAAGCTGATGTGAGTGTCACAATTCGCGAGTTTGTTCAGAGCGCTGACATGAGCAGGTCGATGAACTTTGGGACTCAATGTGTCAAAGTGCTATCAAGCTCATCACTGATTCGCTGCCCACAGTTGAGAGCGATGAGCTTTTACTGAAGATCAAGGGTCGTGTTGCCTTGTTCATGCTCACAATGGAGGTATGGTATTACTTTTCGTCTGCTGTCTTCACTACTAACACTGTCTTAGAAAATTGGCTACTCCGTCGCAGCCATGAACGACCTGCTACTGACGCTATTTTCCAAATACTCCGAACTCCTCAAGCA